AACCCGCGTGGAGGCATAGGGTAAGAAGCAGAATTACAAAGGCTCCCATAATCAAGGCAAAAACAATTCCAGCAATCTCCACAACATCCATACCTCTCCGAACCTACCTGCAGTTCTGAATCCTCCTCCTGTATTGGAGGGGTCTTTGGGCGGCGCCAGCGATGTTAAGTCCCGGGTCTCGGCACCAGCTGTCCCCGACCGCTTTCCGTCTCGCCGGCAAGAACGACGCGGGAGGACAAGTCAGGATCCTTCTGCAGCAGTTTATTTGAAGACTGAAGACCAAAGACGCCGAGAAGTGGGAGAGCTGTTGCTTATATATGCCCCAAAGGTCCCATTTATGATGTATAAGAAGCAGATTGGTTGCTGGAGATCATAAGAAGCGGATTGGTTGCTGGAGATCACGCCACGGGAGGAGGCGGGGGAAAGCAGGCTCTTGTGCACGCCCCTTATGGGTGTGGCAGGATGTTTACTTTTAAGAAGGTCCGGATACCGGCGCCATCTTGTAATGGCGGCGGAGGCTGTGGCTCTCCACACTGTAGATAGAAGGTGCCCCCTTCTCTTCCTTTCTCTGCCGTCCCCTCCACCCTCCCCCACGTTTCCCAGCCCTGTGTGTACAGGAAAGCTGAGTAGGATTTGAATTCAGATCTCCCAAATGTGTTCTGAGAGATAGGCAGAATCTGGTTCCCCAGATGGCTGAGTTTTTCTCTAGCAGGGACTTTTGAGGGACACAGTGACTACCTCTCATGTATATTCTCTTCCTCTGCCCTCACAGTTTGTGAAGTTTGCCAACATTGAGGAAGACACTCCATCCTATCACCGGAGCTATGACTTCTTTGTGTCCCGATTTAGTGAAATGTGCCACTCAAGCCATGATGACTTGGAAATCAAGACCAAGTGAGTATGTGAGGCAAGAGGCCCACCAGACTCTCCCCAGAAGCACTGAGGGGCCTTGGAGAACTTCAAACCTGGTGGCCGGTCTGCCTTCCTTGACTTTCCTTCTGGTCTACTGTTGCTGGAAGGAAGGAGCCCCTGACTGGGCATAAGTGGGTGATGGAAAGTAGAGGGAGGCTCCCAACAGTGGTTCTGAAGGAAAAACTTTTGGGGACAGAAAATAAGGCAAGTGTGGGCTAGAGTGCTGGCTCAGTGGTTAAAAGTACTTACTACTCTTGCAGAAGACCTGTTTGGTTTCCACCACCCACATGTCAGCTCACAACTGCCTGTAACTCCAGTTTCGTGAGATCTGACTCCTACTTCTGGCCTCCTAGAGCTCCTGCATGTATACGTGGTGCATATAAGCTCACACAGGCTCACACTCATACAAAAATAAATGTATAAAAAATTAAATAAAATCTTAGAAAACAGAGCAAGCTGTAAGATAGTGGCCCCTTGAGCCAAGCTTGAGGACCAGGCCAAAACACATGAGTACATATACACCCTCCATCCACTCACTCCTCTATTAAGAACATGAATTTGAACACATCAGTATCCTACTCTCCAGTATCCAGCCATATCTACACCCATCAATGAGCCCAAGTCCTCACACTGGCTCATCTCCACTGCCTTCCTAACTCCATCTCCTGAGCTTTCTCACTCACCACTCTCCTTCAGCCATGATGCAAGGGACACCCCTACCCCAGGGCTTTTGCAGTCTGCCATGTCTAAAAGGCTTCCTCCTTGGATCTCATAGCTCATTGCTTCCCCTCTGCCAAGCCTTTGCTCACTCTGCTCCTATCAGTGAAGCCTGCCCACCCCCATCCACTCCTCTCTCTGCACCCTGGTATTCATGAATACCCATGGTATTCATATCCTTTTAGCAAGTTTCATGGTTCCCTTCTCATGTTTCATATTCTTTGTCTGTCTCTCCCCACTAGCTAATAAGCTGCAGGGAGACAGGGGTCTGGTTGTGCATTGATGTATCCCAAGTGCTACAATAGTTCCCCTGAGACCAACAGATGCCATTTGTTGGGTAAATGACTGAATGAATGCTTTTCAGATCAATACCTTGAGTTATAGAATATACATATATGTACACAAACTCAAACTTATAAGTTTTTAACTCACAAGGATATACTCATCAAGGGCTAGGAATGTGGCTCTGTTGGTAGAGTATTTGCCTAGCTCGCACAAAGCCCTGGGTTCAGTCCCCAGCACCAAATAAACAGAGTATGGTTGTGGTGGCCTACACCTGTTAACAGGAGGATCAGAATTTCAAAGTCATTATTGGCTACATAGTGAGTTCAAGGCCAGCCTGGGCTAAATGAGGCCCCTTTCAAAAAGAAAAAAAATATTTGTTGACATAGAAATAAAACCTTACAAATGAAATCACAAAGAAACTAAAATAATGCTAACACAGACATGTGAAATGGTGCATTCAGGTGACAGTAAAGATGCAATGAAGTGGCAAACAGGTATTTTTGCTAAGTGGGGTCCTTAAGAATAAGAAGTAAGTGCCCGTCTACAGAGTGGGTTGTTAGCTCCAGGGCATTATATGAAACTGGAAAAGTAGCAGGAGTGATCTTGCAGTTAAGGAAAAGGAGTGGGGAACAAGGAGAAAGCCAGTGTCCCCACAGTCACAGCATAGGAGACTGGAAAAAAGAAGGCCAGAGCCAGAGCCGGAGCCAGAGCCTGCATGTGATCAGCAAATATTCATTGGCTTTTTCCAGACCTCAGCTCCACCCTTCATCTCTTCAACCTTTCAGGGGGGAATCCCCAAGTGCCACTTTATGCAGAACCACAGGTCAAGGAACCAAACAGTGCCCTTTGTGACTGGTGAAGGTCTGGATTGGAGGAACAAGAAATGAATCCCTTTGTCCCCTGGCTTCTGGGTGGATCCCAGGCAACTGGATGGCCCTTAAGATATATCTTGACCTCTGAGCTCTCCTTGGATTTAGAGAGTCACGAGGTCCCTTTACATGGGTAGGACCCAAGTGAGCCCATTAAATGGAACAGTAAGCAATATCCTCTCTTCCAAACTTGTGTTCTGATCTAATTTTGAAAGAGTCAGACCTGACATCATGGAATGAAACTCATGCATATGTGGAGGGATTTTGGAGAAACTGAAGACATGTAAGGTAGTTAGAAAAATTAATTCACAGGGGCTAGAGGGATACCTCAGGGGTAAAGACTCATATATACAAATATGTAGACCCACATACACATATCTACAAACATTTACATACAAGGAAGCTCTAGATTGGAATTTTTGACTGCTGGACCTGGTTTCTGGCCTCCATGCCCTCTTGGATGGGACCAATGAGTATTTCAGCTGTAAATTAAGGAGCACTTTTAACCTAGACCAACAGTAAATGGGTAACACTGCAGCCCATCCATCCTCAAGTTGGGACAGCCTCTGATGCAGGGTCTTGAATGGGTGTCAGGGTCAAAGTGCCCAAGTATTGTCCCAGAGAGTCTTTGTCTGTGGCTATCAGCTCTAACAGGTCTTGGGCCGGGGATTTTGATGCTCCTGCCAACCCATCCCACCCAGTGACTATCACCCAATACAGCCAGGGTTGCATCTGATAACCCCACTTAAAAAGTGAAGCTGGGGGCTGGAGAGATGGCTCAGCAGTTAAGAACACTGGTTGTTCTTGCAGAAGACCTGGGTTTGAATCCCAGCACCCACATGGCAGCTAACAACTGTCTATAACTCCAGTCCTAGGGGATCCGACAGCCTCTTCTGACCTTTGCAGGCATTGCACGATACAGGTGCATTTACCTACATGCAGGCAATACATACATACACATAAAATAAAAATAATAAATAAAATTTTTTTAAAAAGTGAAGCTGAAAATAAACTGGAAACTAATGTTTGGAAAAACTGCCCCACTCTAATAAACATCAAAAGACTGATTAAAACAGCTACAAGATATGAGGATTTCCCTGAGCCATAAGATGAGAACAGCTGGTTTTGAGGCAAGGTCTCACTGTGTGGCCCTAGCTGGACTAAGACTCAGAGATCTGCCTGCCTCTGCTTCCCGAGTGCTAGTACTAAAGGTGTGTGCTACCACACCAGGCTGAGAACAGCTGTTTAAAATTGGATCTCCAGAACTGCCATAAGGACAAGAGACAGTGAGGTGGCATCCTTCTAGAGTTTGTGCATGGGGGGAGACAGCTTTGCCACACCAGGACCCTTTCTTATCTTGTGATTAGCGATATCATTCAGAACAGTGACTCAAAATGTAGTAAACCATGTTATATAGTAATGACGGTAGAATTCTAGCAAAAATTGGAAACAAATGGCTTTTAGAGGCCTAGAGTAGAGAGTTCATTTATGGTGGTGTATTATATCATTCAATGTTTCTATGAAGACTGAATATGCTTACAACAGAATATTCTGTGAAAAAAAATCCAATACAAATTAAATATGCAATCAGTTCTTAATTCTATGATACATTATGCACAGAAGAAAAGATGCCAGAATGCCAGTAATGGTTATCTTCGAGTAGTGACAGTAGAGGCAAATGTGTTCCCCTCTCTTCTTTTTACAATTAGCATGCATTTTATAATCTGAAAAACAAGTTTGATTTTAAGATAAAAAGCTAGATGTAGTGACACATGCCTGTAATCCCAGAACTTGAGAAGTGGAGGCAGGAAGATGAGGAATTTCAAGGTCATCTTCAGGTACAAAGTAAATTCAAAGCCAGCCTGGGCTACATGATAGGAGACCCTGTCAGAAAGAGAAAGGTGTGGAGGGTGGAGAAGCAGGGGAGGGGGTAAGGAACTTCTTCAGACTGAAATACATGGGCAGTGAAAAGAAGCTTTTCCCACAGGACGAGCACAGTGAGAAAGGAAAGACCCCCACCCCCACAATGTGCCCCTGGATTGCTCCAGCTTTAACTCCTTCATACAGGAGAGCCTCCTTGCACATCCACTTCCCAGCCCTAAGTTTCTCCTATGTATGGATTCAAAGCCCCATGTATGAGTCCACATCATTTGGTGCTCTGCTATCTTGGGCCTAAGTTGGAGCAAACACAGCTGAGTGCTAAGAAGCAGGCACTGGAGCATCCAGCACTCTAGAATGGAGGCAGGGTGGTACCCAAGCAAGGGCAGACTGGGAGTGTCCAAAATGAGCCAGAAGATTGGGCTTCCTGCTCCATGTCTACCCTCACAGGAAGCCAGCCAGGTCAAGTCCCATAAGGAGGAGCAGGTGGGCTCCTGCCTTTGTGAGCAATATGTCCTGAGACCCTGAACTGTGCTCCAATCCTGACCGTAGAGCTACATCCCTCAGGATATAGAGCTGTCCTGATCTCTTTCCTTTCAGAATCCGGATGTCAGGCATCAAAGGTCTACAAGGAGTAGTGAGGAAGACGGTGAATGATGAGCTGCAGGCCAATATCTGGGACCCACAGCACATGGACAAGATCGTCCCATCGTTGCTTTTCAATCTGCAGCATGTGGAGGAGGCAGAAAGGTAAGTGGGGTGGGGTCTAGTCCTCTGAGCCCACCTCCCAAGGCCACTGGAACATACCTGACTTGGGCTGGAAGGTAAAACCCAGGCATCGTGGCTTTGTAGCTTGTTCTACAAGGCTGGTTCCTTAGAAGCGTTGGGTCTGGGTTTCTGTTAGCCTCTGGGCCCCTTCACTTCTGAAATAAGGAAACAAGGACAGTAATGGTTCTGGGCTCCCTGGAGATAAATGTGTACAGGTCAGGACACAAGGACCAAGAGCTGAGTTACTTTTGTACACTTCTAGAAACAGCCAGCCAAGGAAGCTCAAATGGCTCTTGCAGTTCCAAATGCTGAAGACTCACTCAGACCTTCCCCTCTCACTTCGTGATGCTTTTTCAGGCCTTAAAACACAACTGCTTGACCAGCCACAGCCACTCAAGAGTTGTAGATACTGGGTTTTAATCTTAGAGCCCCTAAGCATGGGATCCATTCCCTCCCGCCCCTCACTTTCCCCTTGTAGGGTGTGGGCAAGGTTAGTGTTGCTCTCCCACTGTGGCTGTGTGCCTGGGTGCTGAGGAAAGATGCAGGCTGTCAGTTGGGTCTGGCCTGCTGAAATAGCAGAGGAAGTAACTGCACCTCCTGGTGGCTATTTCTGAAATAGCAGCACGCTGACCAGCTGTGGTTGTGGTCTCAGGTGGTCTCAAGGCTGGGAGTTCAGGGGCTACTTGCTTATTGTGTCCAGATCTAGGTCCACTCTTATGACTTGCATACCATTGATTCACACCCAAGCCAACCACTGTGCCTTTCCTTTTCTCTCCCTCTTTCATTCCATCTGTTTTCTTCTTTTCAGGTCTCATCCTTTTCCCTCTGAACACTAAAGTATATCAAGACTTTCATGGTCTGCACCCCACCTTATCCATGGTGCTCAGAGGTCTCCCACAGAGGCATGCAGCCTACCCTGAAGGATTTCCAGAAAAGGAAATCTAACCTATCTCCTCCAATCATCCTCCACTCCCAGCTTCCTTGCCCAATTCAACTTCTGACAGCCACAACAACTCTATGACCTGTTTCTTAGTTTGTTCTAAATTGCTGTGGCAAAACACTCTGACCACTACCAACTTGGGGAGAAAAGGGTTTATTTAGCTTACAACTCCCAGGTTGCAGTTCATCAGGGAGCCCAAGGTAGGAACTCAGGGCAGGAACCTGGAAGCAGGAACTGGAGCACAGGCCATGGAGGAACGTTGCTTACTGGCTTGCTCCTCTGGCCCTGCTCAGCCTGCTTTCTTAATGCAACACAGGCCCACCTCCCCAGGGGTGGCACCACCCACAGTGGGCTGGGCCCTCCCACATCACTCATCAAGAAGATGCCCTTCAGACATGGCCACAGGCCAGTCCAATAGAGGCAATTCTCCAATTGAGGCTTCCTCAACCCAGGTGTGTCAAGTTGACACTAAAGCTATCCAGCACAACCTGGAACAGCCTGTCTCAAATGACTGCTTGTCCTGAACAGAAGCCCAGGGATGCCCAAGCCTGGCTCCCAGCTCTGCACCCCATCCATCATCCTTTATCTGCGTGACTCTGTTTCCACAGCCGGTCTCCTTCACCCCTCCAAGCCCCAGAGAAGGAAAAGGAGAACCCAGCAGAGCTGGCTGAGAGGTGCCTGCGGGAGTTGCTGGGCCGGGCAGCCTTCGGAAACATCAAGAATGCCATCAAGCCTGTTCTCATGTGAGTTGAATGTCTCACCCCACCTAGGCCTTCAGCCTTGAAATGTTCCATACTTTGCTGACTGTTCCAGGTCTTCCACATCTCCTTGCCAACTGCCCAAGGTCCCCTATATCTCCCTGCCTATTTAAAGGGAAAGGAGATGGTATGGTTTTGATGCTGTGGCCAAGTCAATTCCTTTTTGCTGCCTGTGTTTCTGCATTACACAGCAAGGCTACCACACAGTGGCTGCATGCAGTTTGCAGTGAAAGGTTGATAGGAAGGATCAAAAGTGAACAAAGGTGCTTGTGTCCAGCTGTAGAGACATAGGGCTGCTCCAGGATCTTTCCTGGTTCCACTCTCTCACCTATATTGTAAGCCCTTCCTTACTCAAGAACTGCCAGGGGCTCTCAGGAGGTATCCCTGTCCCTCTAAGCTCATCCCCCGCTCTAACATTTCCTAGTCATCCTGTGTTTTCTCCCTCACAGCCACCTGGATAATCATTCTCTTTGGGAACCCAAGGTGTTTGCCATCCGTTGCTTTAAAATCATCATGTACTCAATTCAGGTAAGGTGGCTTCCTGCTCCAGCTCCCTTCTTCCCACCCCCCCACCCCCGCTTGAGGGCATCTCTGGGCACCAGAGTGTGCATGAAACAGAAACCTGTGTCCTCTGACTCCACCCAGGCCCCTATCTATCTAATGTCATTGGCCAGCTGTGGAGAAGGGCTCTTTAACATTTATACTGTACTAGGCCAACACTTCTATAAAACACAATGGAAATGAATTCCCAGAAAAATTTAAAGTTGCAAAAGACAAGCAGTCTAGAGGTCAAATCCTTCGTTGCTGAGCATTCCCAGTTCTACACACTTACCCTCCATTCTGGTACTTACATCCCTGTCAACAGTATCAAACACCTCTTGAATTGGAACTGTGGCCATGGGCCACACTTTGAACATCATTGGGCTTTAAACCAGATGGGCTCTCATGATTCTTTCCAGTAAGACCTGGGGATAGAGAAAAAAAAAATGGAAGAGGGTATTTTGAAATGAATTTTTGGCCCCTTTGAAGTGAAAGGAACCAGGGAAAATGTGTAAACACAGATTCCACTGGGATTTGGCTCCGTAAGGCTTGTTGACCCAAGGAGGGGAGGGGAACTGTAAGAAAGACAATGTAGTCTGGGTGCCACCTGCAGTGTCCACTGCCCATGGGGCGTCTTTTTAGGGTACCCCCAGCCTCTAAGTCCCAGTAGAAGGCTGCCCAGCCACGTGGGGTCACTGTTTGAGGACCAGCACTTCTTCCCCCCAACAGCCGCAGCACTCCCACCTGGTTATCCAGCAACTCCTGAGCCACCTAGACGCCAACAGCCGCAGCGCGGCAACGGTGCGCGCGGGCATCGTGGAGGTCCTCTCGGAAGCTGCGGTCATCGCTGCCACCGGCTCTGTCGGTAAGGGGCCCAGAGTGAGGGAGTGAAGGCCGGGTTCCAGCCGACAGAGCACCTCCCTTGCTGGCTGTGGGGAAAGGCAAGGATAGCAGAGGCAGGTGCCTGCAGAAGAGGGAGGTAGGGACTGGCCGCGTGGGCCTGGGCTTGTAGGTGCCGCCGCGCGGGGGTGCAGGATGGGTGCCAATCTTGCCTCTCACCCCGCGGCGCCCAGGACCCACGGTGCTGGAGATGTTCAACACTCTGCTGCGGCAGCTGCGACTCAGCATCGACTACGCGCTGACCGGGAGCTACGACGGAGCCGTGAGCCTGGGCACTAAGATCATTAAGGAGCACGAGGAGCGCATGTTCCAGGAGGCTGTCATCAAGACCATAGGTGGGAAGGGGCGGGGCCCCAGGGAGGAGTTGGCAGCGATCTGGAGGCGGGGCTAAGGGGCAGTAGCGGGGTTGGGAGGCCTGGGGAGGGACTTAGGAAGGGGAGGGGTTCAGTGAGGCCAGGAGAGGGACGGGTCTCTGTGAGAGGGTTTGGCTAGAGGCGGGATCAGGGTGGGATCTGAAGGAGGGACTTCGGAAGGGAGGGGCCTGAGAGCGTGGGGCGGACCCTGGACAGAGATGACCCTTATGAGGGGGCGGAGCCTCCGCCGTAGCTTCTGCTGTAAGAGTTCGGTGTGGCTTAAGGTTGTGTTAGTCAGGGCGGCTGGGGAAAGTAGAGTCAGCCCACGGTGAGCATTCCTGGCTAGCCTGAATGAGAGTGGTAAACAATCTGGCTGGGTTTTTCAGCCAGGTTTTCCTATGAAGCATTCAGAGCCTCAGTCTTCATTAGGCCTACCTGATGCTTCCATGGTGGGGCCATTGGCAGGGAGGTGGGGATTAAGGAAGAAAAGAAAAAGGAAGAAGATCATGAAGACAATATGCGAACCCTGGATGTGGAGAACTCTAAAGCCACCAAATATGAAGGGCGCCTCGCTTTCAGGGCTCTCTATCTCTAAGTCATTGACGAGAAGTAATCAGTAATGAAACCATGGAGGTTCTCAGCAGAGCGGCAGATAAAGGCCCTCCTCTTCTGGCCCCAGGCCCCAGACTCCAGTAGAAAATTCGCCTAGGCCACAATCAGCCTCAGTAACAAGGAAGGAAGATCCTTCCAGAGCCTTCTATGCCCCCTTCCTCTGGAGGCAGTGCCACAGCAGCCCACCTGGACAGGTCTCTCTGGGTATGCTCTGTTCCTGAGCAGCAGCAACCCTCACTCCACATCAGATCAACTGAGAAGTTGAGCTGGCAAGTCGTCTAAGACTTTCTGCCCTCTTCCCCACAGGCTCCTTTGCCAGCACACTGCCCACCTACCAGCGCTCAGAGGTGATCCTGTTCATCATGAGTAAGGTCCCGCTGCCTTCCCTGCATCACCCTGTGGAGACCGGGAGGACAGGGTGCGTGCCCTACTGCTCTCTCTCAGCCTACATACTTCCCTCTTCCTGGCTTCCTGGCTCCCTATTATCCACCCTAACTTCTGTGGCTCTGCTCCCTCTTTTCTCTTTACTCCCAAACCCCTCAAGTAGTCTTCAGTGGGGTCATGGGTTCCACAGCAGGTTTTCAGGCTGCCTCACATAACCACCCCTCACTTTAGGGAGGTCATGGAGTCCCTGGTCTGCTTCCTGGGTAACCCAACAAGATAAGCCTCCTGGTGACAAAGCTCATCAGAAGAACTGATGAGACAGGTGTGGGGTCCACCCCCATTGCCATCTTGGTTAGTATGTGTCTCTGGTCTACAGGGAGAACAGGAACCGGCTGACCCAGATCATGCTGCTGAAATCCCTCCTTCAGGTGAGCCTGCCCTGTCCCCCATCCTGTCTTTGCCTCTGCAGGACACAGCTCCTTCCAGGGTACCAATAGAAGGCAGTTGTACAAATATGCCCAGCCATTAAAAGGATGAGTGAGGATCTGAAATCCACCCTGGGTGCCATTCAAAGCAGAGTGGATACTTAAATGTTTCAGATTTTCACAGTGGTTTCATATCAGCTACTGGTAGTCTTGTCACCAGACGTTGTGTGTCTTGAAATGTTTCATCCTTCTCTTTCCACCTGGTGTCTTTCCCCAGGTCCTATCTCTGTTTCACCCCTGGTGTTCCATATCTCTCACCTTCCAGCCACTGTCTTCCCCTTTGTGTTTTCTGTGCCTCTTTGCATCTCAGCTATCATCACTGGAGTCTAGATCTTCCTGTGGCCGTGTGTTAAAATACAGAGAGTATAAGTGGTTGGTATAAGCAAGAGGTACTGAAATCTATTTATGTGCATATGATCTTTTCAGGAGACAAGGACTCCCTGTGTGGCCTTGGCTGGCCTCAAATTTTACATAGTCAATATCAGACTCCAAAGTGCTGGGACTACAGGCATGTACCACCATGCCCAGCTTTGAAATTTGTATTGGTAAAAAGCTTTCTATCCTGGCTTAAACTTTGGACATCTCACAACTAGATTTTTATTCTCCTAGTCACTTTTACATCCATCTCTTTTCAGTTATCATAAACACCAGAACTTTCTAGAAATACTATTCTAGGGTATTACTCCTTATTTCAGACATCTATCTTAGTTTCTAATATAAACATCTAGATCTCAGACTTCTCAGAGCAAAGTTGGAAGTTTTCAGGGCCCTTTCCCACCCTAGACTGTCCATTGTACCACCCAGCCTCCATCTCTGTCCCCAACATACAGTCTCTACAAACCCTCTCTCATCCATGCAAGCCTTCCCTACCTCTTTTCCTACCCTCACTGTTGATTCTACTGCGTTTATGTTTGGTTGGTTGGTTTGCTGTGGTGGTGCTGGATGAGCTCAGGTCCTCACATATGCACCTCCACTGAGTACAGCCCCACTCAATGTACTTTTGTAAAGTCCCTTTGTCTTATGCTTCCCACATCTAGTCTAGTTTTCTCCTTGGTCTTCATAATCCTGTAATTTCTTTGCTGAGCTGACCCTCATTAATTTGTACCCAGTGTCTTTAGATGACAGTATGAGGAGTACTCATATCCTTCTTCCCAGAATACTTGATGCTCTGGGACTGGGCTGGATCCATGAACACCTTCTGAATCATTGGAGGCAATATAGACTTAACAGGAAATACACATGGTAGAACATTTGACATCATATATGGTGTATCTATATGTGCCAACTCACTTGAGTCAGAAGGCCCCATTACCAAAGTGCTGGAAGAGATGTGACCAAATGTGGTCTTTGTGTGGTCTGATTGTGTCAGGTATGTAAGCTACCTCTTCAGCCCAGCTGTAAGTTCCTTCACTCTCTAGTTCTTGTGACTCTCCTACTCCTGTGTGAAGCACTGTGTACATTTTTGGCATTCATCAGTTATGCTCTGACTGACTGGAACTTTCAGACATTCCCTGACTCTTGCCTCTCTCTAGTGTTCATCCCTTGCTCACTTTTAACACTTGCTGTCCCTGCACACCATCCCCATCCTCTTACTCATCAGCCGATCTACACTGAGTAGATCTTCCAAATGGGTATGTGGGGCCTAGAAAAGAGGGGAATGGAGGGAAAGCTGAGTTGGGGGCTCTCTAGAGAGGATGGACACTTTACCCAATTTCTTCTGACTATTCCTCCATTTCCTCTCTGCATTAAAAGAGACAGTGTCCCTAAGCACACCTGTCCTGGGATCCTTCACAGGTATCCACAGGTTTCCAGTGCAACAACATGATGTCAGCCCTGCCCAGCAACTTCCTTGACCGCCTTCTCTCTACTGCCCTCATGGACGATGCAGAAATCCGTCTCTATGTTTTAGAGATTCTCATTAGCTTCATTGATCGTCATGGCAACAGCTACAAATTCTCTACCATCAGGTGAACTCAAAGCCTCTCCTCTAGTACATGTGTGATGGGGCCTGTCTTCCTGGCTAGTGTCCTCATACCCAGATGGGAGGACAATTTGGTTTCAATGACACCCACTAGGAAGGGCTAGAGGGTGCCTGAAGTGGGCCATGGAGTATGCTGGGGCTTTGAGGGAGGAAAAACAGGTACTAACAGAAGTTTTCAGGTCTAGGTACGTAAGACCATAAACACTAAGGGTTTGGAGGGAAAATGGGAAAGAAGAAAATAATCAGGGTCCAGGTTTAAAAGAAAGGAATAAACCTGGCATGGGGTCTAGGTACGTAAGACCATAAACACTAAGGGTTTGGAGGGAAAATGGGAAAGAAGAAAATAATCAGGGTCCAGGTTTAAAAGAAAGGAATAAACCTGGCATGGTGGCACATGCCTGTAGTCTCAGCACTTGGGAGGCAGAGGCAGGTGGATCTCTGTGAGTTCAAGGCCAGCCTGGTCTACATAGTGAGTTCCAGGACAGCTGGGGCTATAGGGAGACCCTGCTTCAAAAAGACAAAAAAATAAAAGAAAGGAATAGGACTGTGAGAACTTTGGGGGAAATGGCTAAGAACCAGGGCCAGGTCCACTGAGGCTTTGGTACCAAACTACAAACATTGAGGATAAATCTCAGTGATGCTGTGTGAACTCAAGTTGGCCTCATGCAAGGGCTAAGTGGACCCCGTCTGTCCCTACGCAGCACCCTTAGTGATATCTCAGTCCTGAAGCTGAAAGTGGATAAATGCTCCCGACAGGATACTGTCTTCATGAAGAAGGTAAGCAACTGTGACCTCAAGACACAGTGACTTTTCAGTGTCCAAGTCACTGCTGACCACTGGCCCCAGAACCTACCTCTTTTCAGATTGGCTGGATTAATCAGCTGCCCCACCCGGAAGTAAGCCCCTGTAATATTCTTTGCCAAAGTCAGATCCAGGAATACTCCCTGGTGAGCCAGTCCATGGCCATTAATCATGTTCTGCTCCTAACACTGCTTCTAGACAACAGCTTGGTTGCTGGTATCACTAGGGCCCAGCTGTCTCTACATGGCTTCACTTCCACTAAGGTCACTGAGGATGGAGATGGGGTACACACAGCCATTACTCCCCTTCAGATGGGCCTTCCCCAATTCTTGCCACTCTGGGCCCCTTCCCCCATTCACCGTGGCTGTCTTCTGCCCTTGCTTCTGTCCCCAGCACTCCCAGCAGCTCTATAGACACATCTACCTGAGCTGTAAGGAAGAGACCAACATCCAAAAGCACTACGAGGCACTCTACAGCCTCCTGGCACTCATCAGCATCGAACTAGCTAATGAGGAGGTGGTGGTGGACCTCATCCGCCTGGTGCTGGCTGTCCAGGTGGGACCAGGGATGTGGGTAGAACATAGGAGTAGTAAGGATAACGGGAAGGGGCCTGCCAGACAAGTACTGATGGGAATACTCCATAGCAGTTGCTTGACTTGGAGTCCAGGGACATTGGGCTCTTGGTGGGCCATTCTTCCATGAATATCCTAAATTGTCCTTGTCTGGGGAACCTAGACACTAACTCATGGCTCTTGTTCATCTTTAAGTTAAAGAGGACCAGGGAGCAGCGTTGCCCAAAAGTACCTCTAAACCCTTAGTACTTCAAGTCCCTCTCGGGTCTGAATGACACCTCAAGAATTCCCAAGAGTGTGTTCAAAGGCTCTGAGTGATCCTAAAATAGTTTGTCCAAAGAGCCTTTATTCTCAAATTTAGCTGTACAGAATTGCCTCAGGTGCTTGTTAAAAATACGTATTATCCAAATTGGTAAGTCATGAGTCTGGGACCTGTATATTTAACAAGCCTCCTTTGTGAGTCATAGGCAGCCAGTGTGGCACTAGGTTGGGCCTGGGACTTTCAGCATCTGCATTAGTGGAAGTGTATTCCCAAGGGAGTTGAGGTGGGTCCTTCAGACCTAAAGACTGGAGTCTCCAGGTCCTGAAGCCAGGTGGGAGTCATATTCTAGAAACTCAGTGATGGATGTCTTAGACCACCTGTATGGCAATGTTAAATCCTGCAGGCCAATTTAGATGTTAAAATTGTCTTTATTTACCCTGAGAGGTAGAATTTGTGATTCTTTGGGCCCTAATCTCCTGGTGACTCCCAAAGGTTTTAGCATGTGAACCCAGTTTAACAGACAAATCCTTTCTTCCAAGCATCAGTCATGGTGAAGGAGATGGCAGCCTAATGCTAGGATCAATATTAATGAGGAGGGTTTGGACGATGGGGGTCACTGCAACTGAAACTGCAGAGTGGGGAGATGAGGACATTGCCTCTATGCTTAGTGGTTATTTAAGGGCCTCCAGCTCATGGATTTTTCTAGAAACCATACCTTCAGCTTTAATACCATGACTCCTGCCTCCCAGGAGGCTATGGGGAAAATGTTAATAAAGGCAGTCTACAAAGATGAACCATCTCTAAAGAAGATTGATGGGGGGGGGGGGGCTGGAGAGATGACTCAGCAGTTAAGAACATTAACTGCTCCTGCAGAACATCTGGTTTGAATCCCAGTACCCACATGGCAGCTAACAACTATCCATAACTCCAGTTCCAGGAGATCTGACACCCTCTTCTGTTTTCCACGGGCATTACATGACACGGGTGCACTTACATACATGCAGACAATACATGCATACACTTACAATAAATTAATAAGTAAAATATTTTTAAAAAAGAAGACTGGGAAGAGGTCAGGGAGGGTGGGGACTCTAGTGTAGTTTGTCAACAAAAAACTCCAGAGGCCTATCTCTGTCACCGCAGGACGTGGCCCAGGTCAATGAAGAGAACTTGCCTGCCTACAACCGTTGTGCCCTCTATGCTCTGGGTGCAGCCTACCTGAACCTCATCAGCCAGCTGACAACAGTGCCTGCCTTCTGTCAGCACATCCATGAGGTTGGTGTCTGTCCTCATGATCCTGAGAAGTCAGAGAACCCTTGACTTGGGCTTCCTGTGAACTACTTTTCCTTAATTGCATTAGTATTGTTCTTAGACTTAGGCATTGGAGGAATGGTTGAAGTAAGAACTAAGGGAGCACATGGAGTCCCCTATACCTGTGTCCTATCCACTGTCCACCCATTCACAGAAGCACACAGCACACACTCCTCAAACCATGTGGCCTAAAGCAACTTAATAAGAGTTGAGTGAGAGCTAGGGATGTGACTCAGTTAGTAGAGTACTTGCCTAGTATGCATAAAGCCCTGGGTTCATTTCCCAGCATTGCATAAAACTAGGTGTAGGACTGGGCATGATAGCACACACCTTTAATCCCAGGACTCAAGAGGCAGAGGCAGGCAGATCTCTGTGAGATAGAGGCCAGCCTGGTCTACATAGCAAGTATCAGGCCAGCTGGGGCTACAAAGAGACCCAGTCTCAAAAAACAAAAACAAAAAACAAAAACCTGGGTGTAGTAGCATATGCCTGTGATGACAGCAGTCAGGAAGCCTTGGAGTTAAGAGAATAGGAAGATCAAGATCATCCTCAGCATACCAAGTTCAAGGCCAGCCTGGGCTAAAGAGACCCTGTTTCAAAAAGAGTTTTGGGGAGCCAACCATGGTGATCTGCACCTATAATCTCAGCTGCTCAGGAGGTTGAGGATAGAAAATCTCTAGTTCAAGGCCAGTCTGGGCAGCATTGAAATCTGTCTTGGGATGGGAAAATGGCTCAGTAGGTATAAGCACCGGCCATGCAAGCCTGATAACCTGAGATCAATACCTAGAACCAATTAAAAAAACAATCCAGCTGGGTATGGTGGTGCACGCCTTTAATCCCAGCACTTGGGAGGCAGAGGCAGGCAGATCTTTGTGAGTTCAAGGCCAGCCTGGTCTACATAGTGAGTTCCAGGACAGCTTGGGCTAGGAAGACCCTGTCTCAAAAAAAAAAAAAAAAAAAAAAAAAAAAAAAAAAAACCAAATGCAGTGGCACACAGTTGTAATCCCAGCATTCTTAAAGCAAAATAGGAGCTGGAGACAAGAATCGGCCAGTAGCTCATGGACCAGAGAGCCTAGAATACACAGCACAGTGGCAGAAATGAGAGATCCCACCACAGCAAGGAGAAAGGCAAGAACCAACTCACAAAAATTGTTCTCTGATCTCCACACATGCACTGTGGCATGCATGCATGTGTATATATACACACACACACACACACATACACACAACACACACACACAAACACACACAGAAAGAAAGAAAGAAAGAAAGAAAGAAAGAAAGAAAGAAAGAAAGAAAGAAAGAAAGAAAGAAAGAAAGAAAGAAACCCTGTTTCAAAACAAAGCAAGCTGGGCATGATGGCACACATCTTTAATCCCAGCACTCAGGAGGCAGAGGCAGGTAGATCTCAGTGATATCAAGCATGCTACATAGCAAGTTCCAGGCCAGCTGGGGCTACAGGGAGACCCTGTCACAGAGGGGGCAGGGAGGGAGGAGGGAGGAAGGAGGAGAGAGAGAGAAAAGAGGAGAGTGAGAGAGAGGAAGAGGGAGGGAGGGAGGGAGGAATTGGCATCTCCTTCCATGATTTTGAGGCCAATCACATAACTGGTTAAATTTTGAACCACGTCCCCTTGGCATTATCTAGGGCCCAGTGTAGTCGAGCACTCTCAGTTGTTGCATGAAGTACTTTTAAAATCTGTTGCAGCACTAGAGAGACAGCTCAGTGATTAAGAGTCCTGACTGCTCTTCCAGAGCAGTTATTAGTGGTGGCTAATAACCATGAGTAATTCCAGTTCCAGTGGATCTGACTCCCTCTTCTGGCTTCCATGGGCATTACACACACATAGGTGCACTTGCATGCAGATAAAACACTCATACATACAAAATTTAAATCTTTTTTAAAAAACCTGCTGAAGTATTTATAGGTACATCATTATCAGGTTATATCTAGGATTAACTTTGAAATGCACCAGCAAAACAAAATAAAATAAATTCCAGGTTTCTACTGGCCTAGGTTGGCTGGGGATTTGGGGGCAGGTGCTTAGTCATTATACCAGTAACTTCCCTGGGCGTTGGATTCTCCCTGGCTGTGGGCTAATGAAGGCGTGCAAGAAGCCCTCTTCCCTGGAAGTTGTGCACCTGCATGCCACCCCAGCTTCTCACTACCTCAGTAACTTTCACATTTCTTCCCCAAACACTTGTAAAGCATCCAAGGACAGCTCAAGATGTCATTGTCCATCAGGTGCTTTTACCATAACTGACTTTGGAACACAGTGCCACTTATGTTCCCTTTTTACTTGTTTAAGTAGAAAATTCGGGAATAAGGCCCAGGAGAAAGAAACCTCAGTCTCTTAGGAGTGAAAATGCCCTGTACTTGGAGGACACTTGTCACATATGTGTCTTTGATGGTGACAACTCGAGCAGCTACTGGGGCTTCCCAGGCTTCTCTGATGGTGACTGGAAACCTGGGCGTGCTGTAATGCTCTCCATGGAGGCTGAGGGCAGGAGAAACACTGGGTCAAGGAGCAGCTCTTCTGTTGCCTATTCTGATCTGCCTCACCTTGCTGGACCCAGCTCTCATTATTTATTTCCTTCCAAACTCCAGGTGATAGAGACCAGGAAGAAAGAAGCTCCATACATGCTCCCGGAAGATGTGTTTGTGGACAGGCCCAGGTGAGGAGGGTGCCTGGGACGTGGTTGAAGATGACTGAGGCAGCTGAGTAGGAAGGTGGGTAGACCAGGAAGGGCTGTACATAAGGGGGCGTAGGCTCTTGTAAAATCTATGACAGGAAGCAGCCCCTGCCGTGATCCTAAGGTCCAACACAGAGTTGGACCCCATCACATTACCATAGTCCATTCCTCAAGCAGGCAATGATGAGCCAGCTGGTAATACAACCTCCAGGAGCTTTGCTCAAACCCAGAGGGAGTACATCCTAAAAGAGTCACCCCCACACCCAGATAGCACCCTGCCAGTGCTGTGGACCAATACTGGTTCAATATGAGAGGAACTCCAGGGAAAGATATTCTGGAAAGCAAGGTGTCCAACAACAGAGAATAGCTTTCTAAATTGTAGTCCACCCATGAAGTATGGCATGCAGGGCTGGGGCTGTAGCTCAGTAGTAGAGCACTTGTCTAGCATGCATGAGATCCTGGGTTGAATCTCCAGCACCACAAAAAAAAACAGTAAAAAAAAAATGTTAGTGATGCTTTGGAAGAATATTTTAATATGAAATATTTATTAAATAAAACATGAATAAAATCAATCACAGGCTAAGGAGATGACTCATGGTAAAGTGCTTGCTATATAAGCATGCAGACCTGAGTTGATCCCCTGAACCATGTAAAGGGACCCAGGCATGGTAGCCTGTGCTTGTAATCCCAGTGGAGGTGGAGATAGATCTCTGACTCACTAGCCAGCCTGGCCTACTTGTTGAGCTCCAGGAGAATGAGAGACCCTCTGCCAAAAAAAAAGGCAAACAGTGCCTAAGGAATGACACCCAACATTGACTTCTGGCCTACGCACACACACACACACTGACAGAAACACACACACAGTCAAGCACAGAACAGTGTATTGGGGAAGGAAACATTTGTGTATAGGCATAAATGCAGGTGATTGAAGGATCTTGCATAAATGTAAATAGTATGTGACTCTGGAAGTGGGACTTAGGGGATTTTCCCCTCTATTTCTCTGTCATTGTGCATAATAAATATGTTGCTGTTGTAATAAGGAAAGTTATCCGGGAATCATTCTAGCTGCCCATAGTTGTTCCTAGCCTCTTCCCTTGTCCTCCAGGCTGTCTCAAAATCTAGATGGCGTGGTGATCGAGTTCCTCTTCCGCCAGAGCAAGATCAGTGAAGTCCTGGGAGGCAGTGGCTACAATTCAGACAGGCTCTGCCTGCCCTACATCCCTCAGCTGACAGGTATGAACTCTAAGCAAGGCTCCCAACCTATCTCTGCCTTTCCTGGCTGGTAAGAATCTGAGGGTAAGGGGGTGTGGGCCCCTGGATCACCTACTATGGCACTTTAGATGTTAAACAAGAGCTGAAAGACAGCAGCATTTATGGTGAGCTCCTGATTTCACTGCCTCTCCACTTAGTTTGGGATCTCAGGAAGCAGCTAGTCAATGAGGGAGTCTGACTTGTGAAGGGGTGGTCCATGGTGTTGGGAAGAACATCATGGACTATAGAACCAGAGACCCATTTCAGGACTCCTGTGCAACTTCTTCCAAAAAGTCTCAGACAAGTTTCTAGGCATTCCTGAGTTTCTTGACAGGGAAATTCCTATGTTAGAGGCTAGCTGTGAGAGGTGAATGGAATAATGAAGGCGCCTAGGGGATGCTGTACATGTGACAGCTATGAGTGATGATACTTATGCAAATTGAGATGTGCTTTCTGGTCATAAAAACTTCTTTGTTTTCATCAATAGTTGCAAAAATCTTAACCCAAAAAAGCAGCCTGACCACCCTAAGATCGGGGGAGAAGGTCCAGAGCAACTAGCTTCTACAAGCTCTAGGTGGAGACTAAGGAGGACTGTGGACCAAGGGATAGGGATGGGACCAGGGGCTTAGCCTTGCTTCCAAGGACTAAGAACATCAGCTTCTGCGCTGTTCTTTCTCAGATGAAGATCGCTTGTCCAAGAGGAAGAGCATTGGTGAGACCATTTCCCTGCAGGTGGAAGTGGAATCAAGGAACAGCCCAGAGAAGGAAGAGGTGAGTCTCTTAGTCACTGTCTTGGTGAAGTTTCTGGACACTCAGTGCTCCAGACTTCTTTAATGATACAGTACTTCAAAGGATATATGGAAATCAGTTTCTCAAATCCATTTTCTTACAGATTCTCCTCGTGTGTATATCATTGATATGTCCATTGAGAAAAATTATATGTGTCTGTATACTCCCATGAAAATGTAAAAATCACTTTTGAACCAGACGTGGTGGCACACACCTTTAGTCCCAGCATTCAGGAGGCAGAGGCAGATAGATCTCTATGAGATCAGGGCCAGCCTGGTCTACATAGTGAGTTCCAGGCCAGCTGGGACTACAGGAAACCCTGTCTCAAAAAAAACAAAAAAAACAAAAGGAAGGCAGGCAGGAAGGAAGGGAGGAAGGGAGGGAAGGAGGGAGGGAGGGAGGGAAGGAGGGAGGGAGGGAAGGAGGGAGAGAAAGAAAACAGGAAGGAAGGAAGGGAAGGTAGGAGGGAGGGAGGGAAGAAGGAGGGAAGGGAGAGAAAGAGAGAAAGAAAGAAAAATCACTTTTTAAGGAATTGCTGGTCACCATTCCCTACTCATACTTGGATACTATATTCCATGTTGGAGGTCAAAAGGCTTAATAGGAGAGATGAGTGGGAAGGGCTTTCTTAGTATCTCCTCCAGATATTTCAATAAAAATAGTTTTAATTAAACTATTTTTAGAAAGCAGTTTTAGGTTGGCAGCACAATCAAGAGGAAGATACAGAGATTTCCTGTGTCTACCATGCTCCTTTCACATGCATAGCCTCCCCTGTTATGTGTCCACGCCAGACTGGTATAGCTGGTACTCAGTGAGCACGTGATTCTCATGCCACACTCTCAGTGTAGGTTGGGATTTCACTCTTGGGATTTTTTTTATTCTATGAATTAGGGTGTGTAGCCACCATTAAAGCACCCTGCAGAGTATTTTGATGCTCTAAAAAAACTCTGTGCTCCACTTTTCATCCCTCCCCCAGCAACCCCTGACAATCAAGATTCTTTAAGAGAAAGCCACAGCATTGCCCTAAAGGCCTCTCTTCCTTCCAGCTCCTATGGAGGGCCTGGAATATCTAATTTCTGCCTAATTTCTCCCCCTGCTGTTATCTCATGTCTCTCTCCTCAGCTGTTAAAGCAGATGTACCCATTAGAATAAGGAACCTTGGGGTTGGGGATTTAGCTCAGTAGAAGAATGCTTGCCTAGCAGGGGCAAGGCCCTGGGTTTGGTCCTCAGATCTGAAAAAAAAAAAAAAAGGCAAAACAACAAAAACACATCCCAATCCCCAAAAAGGCCAAAAGAATAATGAATCTTAATGGAAATATTGTATTTCATCTCTCAAATGAGAAAGAAATAAAGGGGGAGGCAGAGAGGAACAAGGAGCCATGGGAATCTTGGTACATTGTTCCTTTTGTGTTTGATTTGGTTTGGTTTTCTGGGGGATGGGGGGTACAGGGTCTCCCTGTAACCCCAACTGGTCTGGAACTTGATATGTAGACCATACTGGCCTTGATCTCACAGCACCTGCCTCTGAGTGCTAGAATTAAAGGCATGCACCACCTCACTTTGCTCCTTTTTAAAAAAATATGTATTGCATGTGTATGAGTGTTTTGCCTGCATATAAGTGCACCACATGTACGCAGTGCCCAGGAAGGTCAGAAGAGAGTATTGGCTCCCTTGGAACTGGAGTTACAGATATTTCTAGCCACCATGTGGGTGCTGGGAACAGAACCTGGATCCTCTGCAAGAGCAGAAAATTAACTGCTCAGCCATCTCTCCAGCCCCACATTATTCTTTTTTCATGGTGACTGCCCCAATTAGGGAAGTAACAGGTTGGATCAAACATCACACAAAATAAGGAAGCTTCACATCTGGGCAGGGCTGGAACAGGGAGACTCATGTGGAGAGCCTAAAGGTAGCTATAGAGGAAACTTTGACAAAGTCTGTCCTGAGACGTGATCAGAGCATACAACAGGTCTTTGGAGGTCAGGATTAAGTTTCCGTCTGACTAGGGATGACCTCCAGGCCTCAAATTTCAGAGCTGTTCTGGAAACTTCCCATGTAAGACAGGAAGTTCTGACTCTGGCCAGCTTTGGACAAGCAGAGTCAGGACGTGGAATGAGGATCCTCCAAGACCCTTCCAACTGTGAAAGATGGAACCTCCCATGTATTATAGCCTCAGAGTTAGCTGACTGTTTTCCCCCATTATAGGAGAGGATTCTCCAGGCCTAAGTTCAGAAATCTTTAGTAACTAAGTAAAGCTAAGGAAGAGGAAAAATGATGACCTGGCTAGTGCCCCCTACTAGTAGCTTCCAGAGCCACCCATATTGGTTCTTTTTCCCTTCAGGGCCAACTTAGCCCAGAGATGACCTGGTAGCTGATACAGGGCTATGCCCTCCTCCATGCTACCCTGTTTCCTGCTTTGCATCATGTCCTAGTTGAGGATCCTGTGTTGGCTGTCTGTGGCCATCACTGTGGGTAACAAATCAATGTTCTTGGGGTCAAAGCGCAATCCCAGTGTCTGCATTTGGAGCCTGTCAAAACTCTGGGGTGGCCCTACCATGTCATTTTATCTCCCTTGCCACTCTGCCTACTGCTCTCAGCCTCCCCCATGCTACACTCAGTCTTCTTCACAAGTTTACTAATACAGAAAACTGCACCAGAGCTCCCTTGTTCTCTACTTGAGTACTGCAGACCTTTGGACCTATGAACTGCTTGGTCTTCGATGCCCCGCTGGGTCTCATTTCCTTCGTGTGCTTCCACCTGCTCTCACTCAGGAAACGTCCTTTCCCTGTCACCACCATATGTTCTCCAGTGCCTTGAGCATATCTGCATCGGTCAGTCCTGACCATACATGGATGCATGGATGGATGATGGATGGGCGTGTGTGTGTGTGTGTGTGTGTGACGAATCCTGTTTCTCTCTTGCGTGTAATTCCTATATTAATAAATTTTGCACCTTCTATGACTCACTTAGCATTCTACATGATGTTA